GCACATGTCCCCCATTTTTCACTTTCTCCCTTTCCTTTTCTGCCACCCCTCAAGTCGGGGGTGCCAAGTCGGGCTCGATGGTTCTCCGACCTGGGCCGTACGACGGCGAGCCGCCCCCCTCCCCGCCGGCGGGTGCACGCCCCCTATGTATGGGCTGGGTGGTGGTTGATAAGCTGAATGGGGCCAAAGTTTTTTTTACTTGAAAGAGACATGCCGAGGCGACTGTGCTTTGTGGGCGGGCTGGTGGTGGGTGGTGGTGGAGGAGGACGATGAGGGACGGCGAGGCGAGGCGAGAGGGCGGGTAGGGGAGGCAAAAAGGGACCCTCCTCAACAATCAGCATCAGCAATCAGCATGCGCGGCGTCATGCTCCATCCCGAATTACCGTTTTCTCACTTGACCGCTTTCTCTGTCAGTTCTCTGGAGACCCCCGGCTCGAGGGGGGAGTGGGGTTGGACAAGGGGTGGATCACAAGTGTTTTGAAGCAATTCCACACCCTTGGCCCATGTCTGTGGGCTTCGTCCAAGTCCAAGCAGAGAGTTGCCTTTGTTGGAGCAGATGCCCCGGCACGCCGCCGTGGCCCCCTCCCTCCCCTCCCAAATCCCACAATCCCCCTTCTCCCATCTCCATCCCCATCTCCATGTCACCCTGATCCAGATGGCAGTTTTGCCGTTTGCCGTTTGCCGTTTGCCGCAATAAACCGCGATGGGAATCCTGACGTTTCCACCTGGACTTTTTCGCGGGAGCGCCTTTTTGGTAATGCTGCATCTGCATCTCCCAGCTCGCCGGCGTCCCCTGTTTCATCCCCTATTGAGGCAAAGCCGGGCGGGTTCCCGGCTGGGTGTTCCCCGACACGTTTTGTAGACAAGCCGCTCGCGCGCGCGCCCACCCGCTTTCTTTCTCTTGCCTCTCCTTCCCTCGTCGGTGGACGGGGGTGCGTCGATGATACGCATCCTTGGCCGCCTATCTCCTCTGCCCGGCTGCGGCTGCGGTTACGCAGAGTTGGCGGTGGTGCCGCTCGCTCGCGCGCACACGCCCCCCTGTCTATCTCACATCTGGTCTCCTTCAAGGGACCTTGCTTGGCGGCTGCCAGAGGAAGTCCGGGCTGAGCTGGGTCCCCCGCCGTGGCTATGTTGCTATCCATAACTATAACATGCCTCGTCTCCCGCTCCCCCACGGCTGGAGGTTTGCCTGTGCTGTTGCTTTTTCAACTCTTCTTCTTGTCTTGAGTGTATTCTTGCTACGCGGAATATAGACCGTATCGTGCTTGATTCCAACGCCCATATCCAACGTCGGCCCGTCGATACCCTAAAACCGAAGTTTTGTGAAGCCAACCTTGTCAGCCTCCCCTGGCCTCTCAACCGTAAAGACCAGCCTCTCACCCAAGCCAAAAGCGTTGAGCGACAAGAGGGTCGAACCCTAAAATTGAGCCGTTGGTATCTGCAACCCCCAGCTGCAGCCAAAGTTGCTTCTCCGGGCTGCTATTTTTTTCCGGTCCATCTGATTTTCTTATCGGGCATTGTGTTTTTTTAATACGTCCATAATAATTCCCCCCTCCCTCCCTCACTCCGGCCTCCTGTCTCTTCAGCCCTCCCCGCGCATTCGTCGGGCCATCCATCCTTCACGTTTAGTGGTCTTGGATTCCAAATCCGGAAACGCGCCCGCGAGACAAGACGGACGGCTTTTTACCCCAGTTCTTGGCCCCCTTCGGTCGGTCGGAAGATTCAATCTCACTGGGTCACGTTGGTCAGGGCACTGTCAGGTCACCTCGAGGTTCGGGTCTCCTGTTCGTCTCTCTGGGAAGGTTGCATACCTGCCCTCCTTGGTAAGTACAAGCTGCCCACGTCAATGGGACATGTCGACCGACCCCCGTCCGAGCTAACTCCGCAACCCTCTTGGGTCCTCCCAGAAGGCGGCTTTTGTTTTGACGCAAGCTAAAGGGCTGGCAGCTTGGAAACGACGGACAGAGAGAGATATTTTCCTGTAAGCGAGGGACATATAATATCCTGCTCGTCTCCTCGTCTCGACTTTCAGAACCCTCTCAGCGCCCTCTTTTTTCCGGCTTGTTTTCCGCTTCCTTGCCGACTCGCGACTTTACGCATCCCATACAATGGCAAACCGTAAGTGCATGAAACCCCAAGGCCCCGGGACAGCACGCGGGCGTATTCTCGGGCCTTTGTCACACCACGCGCCGGTCACACACTGACACGGGGCGGTTTCTTGGACCTGCAGAAGATGTTTTCCAGTACTCGATGAGCTCGAACTCGGCCTGGGCGGGCTACAAGGCGCACCAGAACCCGAACTTCTTCCCCAAGCTGGCCAGCGGGCAGTGGCCTCAGATCCGTAAGTCTTCTATTTTCGGTCGCAGGCGTGCGAGGTCCCATGATGGTGAAACACTGCATTTTCCCCTCGATCTCCCCTGTGCTTTTGCTTCCTGGCGTCCTTCATGCTTCTACTCCCTTCCTTTTCTTTCCGCCCAGCTCCTTTTTTCTTTTTTCTTTCTTTTAGTGTATCAAATTTTGGTCGAGGAGGGTCTTGGGTTTGCCGCCCCTCATGGTGCACCCCAGATCGGCACACGGCACATCCCCAAGAACCTCCGAGATGCGGGTTCAGTTTGCGCACACTCAGCAGTCAACAGTCACCTCTGCATAGCCCGCGACTCATTGAGTGGGCCCCCGCTAACACGTCTACCTGCTGCCCCTCCTCGACAGTGTGGCTGGGCTGCTCCGACTCGCGTTGCCCCGAGACCACCATCCTGGGCCTGCAGCCCGGCGATGTCTTTGTGCACCGCAATATAGCCAACATCATCTCGGCCACCGACATCAACACGTCGGCTGTCATTGAGTACGCCGTCATGCACCTCAAGGTCAAGCACGTCGTGCTGTGCGGCCACACCTTCTGCGGCGGCGCCAACGCGGCGTTGGCCGACTCGCGCGTGGGCGGCGTGCTCGACACGTGGCTGACGCCGCTCAAGGCCATCCGGCTGGCCAACGCGGCCGAGCTCGCGTCCATCTCGGACCTCAAGGCGCGCGGCGTCCGCATCGCCGAGCTCAACGTCGTGGCCGGCTGCAAGACCCTGATGGCCAACCCCAACGTCCAGGACGCCATCCGCGACCGCGACCTGCAGGTCCACGGCTGCATTTACGACATCTCGACGGGCAAGATCAGGGACCTGGGCTGTGGCAACGCCGTCAAGGCCCTGTCGGGCACCGGCGAGGGCGAGGTCGTCAGGGGCAGGCACGCCACGCTCGTCTTCAAGGGCAGCAGCGCCTCCATGACCATCCGCTGATGTCGACGACGGGGCGGGTCTCTACGATTGTCTCGTGTGGTTTTGTCTTTATTCTTCTTCTTCGTTGCGGATACTCCCTGATGTTTTTTTGTCTTCATTTTCCTGTCTTATACGATATCAAGCCATCTGAGAACCAGCCCGACCTATTGCATATGGCGGCATTTTTCCCATTTCGTTGTTGTTTTTGTTCATTGGGCGAGCATACAAAGTATCCGCCATGAGTGTCGGGAGTACTTGGGACGGCAAGCATTTGTCTACTGGAGTCTGGCGGCGGCGGCTGTGTGGATACGAATTAAAGCGTGCGGGATTTTTCTTTTCCCTTTTTTCTGTTTTCGTCCCTCTCATCACACATCCGGTGAGGGAGGAGTACAAACAAAGCAAATAAGCATATATGGGCTACGAAGCCACATCAACACCCGGTTTTTCGTACGAGTTCGTACGATTTGGACACGCGAGCGCGACGGCGGTGGTCGGCGACGGCTGTCTGTCGTTGGTTTAGAAATACCCCAATCTATCTCACGCCTCATTGTACCAGCCCTTTGACGTGCTGTCAGTTATTGTCGCCTCCAGAGGCGGGTGTGTGCGGTGTGTGTGCCTGTGTACCTACTTTGACATATCGGTCTACCAGCGTGTTATACCCTCCCGTTATAGCGCAAGCGAGCGAGTGAGATGTGGGTTTGATAGTTTTTTTCTTCTTCTTCTTTCCTGCAGCCACTACATGCGGCACAAACCCTCCTCTCCCGTCACATCAAATCATGGCGTCGCCCGTTGACTCAACCCTTGCCTGAGGCAATTTTTTTTCTTTCTCTGGATACCTCGGGCGGGCGGGCGTTCTCGCCCACGTGCATGGGCTGGACCGGAGTAGTTCCTTTTGCCATGCAGTTCCTCTGCGTCCAATATAGCTAGGGGGCCAAGCGGTGAGGGCGGCCCCCCGGCTGGCAAGGCAGGCCGTTGGTAAATGTAGCCCACTCGCCGACCGTGGCCACTGTTCGCTAAGTCGAGCCGCTAAGCACCAAGGGTGTCCGCCTTGGCTACGGCGCTAGGTGCGCCTCACTTTTTGTGATTTTCCCTGTCCCTCCTGTCAGGCAAGCCAAGGCATACGTATCACACAGCGTGCTGGCCAATGAGTCCCGAGCGCTTGTAGCTTTCCCCCACGCACCCTGCGTGGCCTGTCGTCCGAGGCGGGAGCAAAGATGGCAGCACCAGGTGTTGACGGTCGAAGTGGCCCGTCGCTCAGAGTGTTCCAGACAGATGGCAATATTGGATAAGACATACTGAGACCCGTACCAAACTCGGCTCGCCAATCCGCTCACTCGCTCAACGAACTTACTCAACCAATATCAATCAAGGTTCTGCTGTCCTTTTGTCTAGCTAAGCTCCTTATCCACATGGAGAGGAAATCCCGCAGACACCCGCAGTAGCTGAAACTCTGCTCACACTCCTTTTTTTTCTTTTTTTTTTCTCAGCCCGGATGATCAGGTACGTAGAGGCAAGTTTGATGGGATATGCGATGGGGCCACGGTGGAAGATTGCCGGGTGGTATCAGATCTAAGATGCAGCGCCGCCAAGCTGGGAGGAGGTGGGTTACCTTCTGCTAGACCCTCTGGATCTGGCACCTTGCACAGGTCTTTTTTTTTTTTTTCCCCTGCCAGGGTTCTTGACCCATGGCGGGCGACTTGCCAAACCCGCTCGGCGTTTGTCGCGCACGCCGCCCCGCGCCGACTGTCGGTGTCTTTCTCTCTCCCCCCATCTTGCCCCTCCTTGAGCCAGCGCTCCCAACCCTCCCCGCTCGTGGGCTTTGGGCTGTTGCAACTGACGTCACCGCTCTCAAGACAAAACCTAAACAGCCAGAGCGAGATCAGCCCGCCGTAGGGATCTCGACATCCGTACGACGTGACGCTCAAGACTTGTTTGAGAGCACGCCATGTAATACAGCGACTATGGTTGCACTTGGCCATGCCTCTCCTTGCCGTTCTGTTCCCCTTGTGTTGGCGGCGTGGCCGGTAGGGATGTCGATAAAAAAAAACCCCTACCGCCGGTGATCGGAGTCCCCTGAAGAGAGGGGACACCCTGCCAGTGGCTGCTCTCCCTGTAGGCTAGCTCCGCCCTGTCAGACCGGCCAACGCTTACTCGGGTCCCATCCGTGCAACAAAGGAGAAGAAGGGGAAAGTGATAGAAAAAAAAACCGGAGGAAGAAAAAAGCAAAGGGGAAACTGACATCTCGGGCTGGGAGAGCCAGTTTCAAGAAAGAAATTCCAGCAAAGACGCAAGTCATCAAGCCAAGCAGCGATTGAAAGGGAGATACGGTACAAAAGACAAAAAAAAAAAGACGGAACACAACTGTCGAGATGCCGTTGTCGGTGCTCACGGACGAGCAGATCGGTGGCCTGCTCGAGGCCCTGACGCTGGACGAGCTCGACTCGCTCCGCTCGAGCCTCCAGCGAGCCCTGCATGAGTACAGCGTTGGCACGCAGGACAGGTCCGCCCAGGAGGACGAGCAGCCCGAACGCCAGGCCATCTACTCCGAAGCCACCGGCACAAAGACCCTCTTCATGCCGTCACGAGGCCCCGCCGGCCTCGGGGTCAAGGGTTTGTCAGCCTGTCAACCGCCCCGTCTACACCCTCCATCTCCCTGCTTCCCCCCTTCCCCTCTGCCCACCCGCCCGTGCCTACCTGTCAGCCCGCCTCACCCTTGATGGGGCGGCCTTTACCTCGGCAGCGCCTCGCCTAAGCTGGCGTGGCCTAGCCATGGCCATGGCACGGGCGGGCCGCACCACACATGTACCTGCACCTGCACATGCACCTGCACCTGCTTGAGCACAAGCACTGACTGGCTGTCTATCTACCTTTGCCGCCGGCTCCGCCCGCCTTTCAGTCATAACGCTCACGTCGCCCCCCGCCAAGCCCCCAAGCCAGCAGCCTAGCGCTGCGGGCAGCCCGGTGGATGGCAAGGGCAAAGAAGCCGAGGCCCCGGCCCCGGCCCCGGCGGCGGCGTCGGCGCCCGTGATCCGGCCGACCGGGGCCATCACGCTCTTCTCCCCGCAGGGCGCGCCCGTGGCGATTCTGCACGCGTCGCAGCTGACGGCCTTCCGCACGGCGCTGGCCAGCCTGTGCCTGGTGCACCGGCGCAGCACCGTCAAGGTGCTGACCGTGTTCGGGGCCGGCCTGCAGGCCTACTGGCACGTGCGGCTGGCGCTGGCGGCGCGCGGGCGCACCGTCAAGCGCGTCAACATCATCAGCCACCGCTACTCGGACTCGTGCCGGGACCTGCTCCGGCGCTTTCTCGAGGTGCCGGCCGAGGTCAAGGCGCGCGAGGGCTGGCAGGCTTGCCAGTTCGGGATCCTGACGCCGAGCTACGTCGAGTACGCGCGCCTGCTCAAGGACCAGGTCCGGGCCGCCGACGTGGTGTTTTGCTGCACGCCCAGCACCGAGGAGCTGTTCCCGGCGGGGCTGCTGACCAACACCGAGGGTCGCAGGCGGGGCCGGCTGCTGGTGGCCATCGGGTCCTACACGCCCGACATGCGCGAGATCCCGCTCGAGGTGCTCCGCCAGGCCGTGCGGCGCCACCCGGCCGACCGGCCGCACTTCCACAAGCACGCCACCGAGGGCGGCGTCGTGGTCGTGGACACGCTGGACGGGGCGCTCAAGGAGGCCGGCGAGCTGATCGCGGCCGGGCTCCGGCCCGACCAGCTGGTGGAGCTGGGCGAGCTCGTCATGCTGCAGGAGGCGCAGTCCAGGGAGCAGCAAGGGGGCGACGAGGCGGCCTCGGATGGCGGCGGCGGCGGCCTTGGCAGCGGGGCTAGCAGCCCCACGGGCTTCGAGTTCGACAGGCTCGATCTCACGCCGGGGACGCCGTCGCTGTCGAGCGTGTTCGGGTCGCCCACCAGCCGGGCGTCCAGCCGGGCGTCGTCGCCGAGCCGCAAGAGCACGGCCCCGTCCACGACGGCGTCGTCCACGACCGCCACCGACCCGGGCAGGGCGGCCAAGGTGCTCCCGTTCCTGCAGAAGCGGTCCTCGAGCAGCCACAGCACCGCGTCGGAGCGCCGCAAGAAGAAGGACGACCACCTCGCCGCGTGGCTGCAGAGCGGCAACGTCATCTACAAGTCGGTGGGCCTCGGCCTCATGGACCTCGCCGTCGGGATGCACCTCGTCCAGTTTGCGAGGGAAAAGGGCGTCGGGACTCACGTGGATGGGTTCTAGGCCTGTTGGGGTTGTGGACTGTGGACGCTTATAGTGAGGTGTTGCTTGTTTTTACGGCCCAGAGGCCGCGTGGAGAGACTAGGACAGGGCATGTTTTGAATACTTGGATAGAGACAGAACCATGTGGTTGACAGTTGAGACTCTAGAGCGTCTTTGGTGCAGTGAGATGAGGCGCTGGATGTTTTTTTTTTTTTTTT